TATGCACACACAGCTTCTATGAAGAATCAGAGCAATTGTCCTTGCGTGCATTTACCCACACTTCTGAGCCTACGCTGTAGTACTTGTTCTAGAAAAGCACACAGAGTTCATTGGTCAAGTACGTAGTTTGGTAGGTGGGACCGAAACAAGAGCCTGGCTTTCGTTTCCCAGTAAAACATAGAAGAGTTGAGATCTGAATTTGAACTTCATGGCTGACTCTTGTCTCTCTAATGAAGCAAACCAAACTCCCAGATGTGAAACAGCCCCAGGCTTTGGCAAAGTCTCTCTTTGCAGTTCTGGCCCATTTCTACAATTTTTCTGAAAGGAAAACAAAGCTAATACTACCTTTTTAATTTACTTAATGAGGAAACAGAGAGAAACAGTTTCTGCATCCTTATGGCCAGCTAATCTCCTCATCCTGTACTATAGAGCAGCACAAGGGCGTGCTTTAGTTTATTGACGAAGTACAGCTATAGCCGGCCTTTTATTCTTCATAACTTTTGACTTGCCAGAAGTGTTCTCATTGCCCAGTGTGTCACTGCCCAGACAATCTGCATTATACTTCCTGGATAACTTTTCATTTAGGTTTCTTCCTGAAATGTGCTTTTTCTTTTTGAACTCCTTGTGCCGCTTATGTTCGAACATCACAATATTTCTAAAGCTTATTTGGTGAGTGCTAATACAGCAGAAAACTCTTACATCTCTGTAACCTCACTGAAACAAAAAAAAAACCCTAATAGAAGTAACTAAACTGCCTATAAAGAGAAGCCAAACCTTCATGTCCATTTATTAATCGGCATTAGAGATGGCTCAGAAAGTTAAATGAGGAGGGGATTGCTGAGGGGGGAGGGTAAGATCAGTGCTGTCCATGCATGAAATTGGGTTTGGTAATTGGCTTTGGCAGTAGTAAGGTACTAAACCACGGTAGCTTTGCTAAATGTGAGGCTCTGAAGAGCAGGATGTGCAGTAATTAGCCAGTCACTTTGACTTCTCCAGCATGGCTTAGCATTTATTACTGTTTTGCTTATTGTACTGACTTAATTCTATGACCTTTAAACTGGAATATATTTTGTGTTGCCAAAAAAAATAAAAAAAAAAACCTCTCTTAAAACATGCCACATACGTACCTATCTATGGACAACATCCTATTTTTAACCTCACTGGAACACTGAAGAGCAGTGTAATGGGGTCTGCAAACCCTTTACTGAGCACAGAGCAGGGAGGAGAGTCTCCCCTGTTTACAAGCATGCAACTTAATCACATCCCCATGCAGTTGCCAGAGCTGCTGATCCTGGAGGCAGGCTCCCACAGCTGAAGCCAATAAAGGAAACAAGGGTTGCTATAAAGGGGAGAGTATAGGGAAGGAGGGAGAGGCAGAAAGGTCTGGGACAGCCATGGGGCAATACCCCTACACGCAGCTGCCTCCAGGAACACAGTCAAGAGACTGAAGCAGACTAACTGCTAGGCTTAATTAAAGGTGGGGGTCCATGAACAGCCTTGAGAGCAAACTAAGGAGGGCCAGTCTGGAGAAGCAGAGACCCCTTAAAAGACCACACCAGGAGACAGTGATAAGTAATTAGGTATAGGGCCAAATTCATCTGTGGTGTTCATCTGTGGATTTGAAGTGTGAGACCAACAATGAATTCAGCACATTATGACAATGTACACTACAGTCAGTCAAAAGTAGATGATACACAATAGAACCCCTACCTCACCAGTGTGTTGACAGGGTAAATACATTAAAGATTTTGAGATACTCAGATACTATGGAAGTGGAGGCCATATAAGTATCTAAGATAGGTGGATAGGGGGAAACTATCATGACATTTTTTCTATGCCAATGTGCAGGCATATGCTTTCAGTCTGAATGACTTTTGGTTTAGATCAAGGCAAACAGGCCGCAAGGATTCTGACAATGGGTGCACTCAGGAAGAGTTCTTAGGCTATCTCTAAAAGCTAGGGTATTGATTCCCAGAGCGAGTACATATTCTCATGCTAGCTCAATGAGAGAGAGTGCCGAGTTTATGTATGCAAGCTGAGAATCACGCCCCTAGCTTGTAGTCTAGATGTAGACTTAGAATTGTGAAGATGCAGTGCACAAGGAACAAATGTTCGTTTCATAACTACTTCCACCACAGATTCCCTTCTCAGACTCATTTCTTTCCATTAGGCTTCTACTGGATAGCATTAATTATCCTCCTGTGCTCTCTTTGCTGTGTCAAAAAAACAAATTCTGATCCTTCAGCACTGCACCTTTTCATGATTTTGCTCCATCTGCTGCTCCTCACTTTTGTACATTGCAAGCTCCCTAGGGTAGGGACCTTGTCTTTTTCTTTTTTCTTTTCTATTCTTCTCCAGTTTAGTCTTTTCTTTTTTCTGCCTTTAAAGCAGCAGGCACATCTGCATGCTATTGAAAGAGTAATAATAACTTCTTATAAAGCCTGAGAAAAAGATGGGATATACAGTACCATCTTTTTCTAGATTTTTTTTTTTTGCTTAAAGAAAAAAAACCCTCACAGTGAAATACATAACCTTGACTACTACCCTCCTTTTTCCCTTGCAAACAACCACCTTCCAAACTTCTACCTTAATGTAGACCTTTGAATGTGAAGAACAAATTGCTATCCATGGAGGATTACACACAGGTTTATCATGAACGGTGACAACATATATGTGCTTTTCTGTAACTGTTATTGATTTGTAAGATTATTATAGCTGTTAGAATCTCCAAAGGATTCTCCTGAAATACTCCATTTTTCATCAGGGAAGAAAGATGTACAAGGGTTGTTCAATGCAAAAATCTGTTTTCATTAATGTAAATATTTGCATAGATTTTTCTTGGCTTTTTTGTTTGTTTTTGGTTTGGTTTGTTTTTTAAATAGAGAAATTTTCCTTTTAGAGGGGGGAGGGACAAAAAAAGTAAAAATTGAAAAATGCAAAAAGAGACGCAGCAACTCTCAAATAAGCATATTTAAAGGGGAAAAAAGTAGATCTGATGGGCCAAAGGTACATAATATTACGTATAAAAACTACATTAAAAGGACATTACATTTGCAAAGCCAAGCACTCAAATGTTAAGAAATACCAAAATTAACATCGCCAGTGCATGTACATTATCAGTTTTTAATTACATGGTCACGAGTGCATTTATTATGATACAGTTTTTAAGTGTGATCACATGTGCATATGCATTATGATACAGTCTTACATTACATGATCACATGCTATTTTTTGCACATGACCTTCAACTCTTCTTCTGCAAGGAGAGGTTTGAAATGGACACCAGCTCAGTCTTAATCATAGTAGCTCTAGTGGGTACTCAGCTTCTTCCTTTGCTAAAGAAACATACAATTCAGTTCTTTTAATGTGAAGTCCTTTAAATCTTGAACCATTTTAGGTAAAAAATAAGTTTGAAAAAAAAATGAACAGACTATGTGACGCAAGAAGTCTAATTTTAATATAATCATAGATTCAGCTGATAAAGAATGGATTTGTTTTAAGAGCACTGAATTGGAATACTTTCTACCATGTAATCTCCTGAAAAGAGTCCATCCTGTTGGAATATGTTTCATCCTGCACCTAGCTCATTCATTAAACTGAGGGGTTTTTTTCCATAGTACCGGTACTTATCTGAGTCAGTCCCTTTAGGAGTCCATCATTTTAAAACAATGTGTCGTGCTAGCAGTACAAAAGCTTTGTCTACCCCCTACCATCTCTGAACTTACTGAATACACCTTTACAACTTTACAAGTAAGTAATTGCTGAAATGCTGTGCAATCAAAGTGTAGCTTGTAAGAGATCACATTCACTCATGGAAGGAAGCTAATTGTTAAGCTTCTCTCTGATGGAAGAGATGCATTGTATCAGGATAAATGGGATATGCAGGGGTTATTTAATTTTTTTTTTACCTTCTAAAATACATATATCTAAAACACTAGACATAAAACCCATTTACAACCTATGTTCAAGTCCATTGCAACTAATGTCCATATTAGACCTTCCTGAGATACCAAAAATAATAATTTTCCTCTCTCTCTGCTTTCTTCTCTTCAGCCCACACCTCAGGGAAAGCCTGGAAGAATAGATAATCCACAAAGCATGCCTTGAAGACTGAAGAAAAGGGGCATTCACCAAAAACTCCAATATTAGCCACCTTGCTGTTCAATGAGGGAAGAGGCCGTTAGCTTGAGCACCTCAGCAGTTCTCCTGTCATATCCCATAAGGAGAGAGGGAAGTCTGTAATGTAGCTAGGCTCCACATTTAGAATTGTGTAAGTGAAAGTCAACACCCTGGAAAGTCAACCTGCTCCTAGAAACTAATTAGCAGTCAGAGCAGACTCTGGAGCACACACATAATATGCACAGTTAGGCATTTTAACCTCTCCGGATTGAAATACGTGAATGAGCTCTATGTCAGACAATACCTGAAGGCAACTCCTCCTTCAGCTGGTGCAGACTTCTGCAACCCATGTGCCCAGGGATGTTTCTTGGTGACTTGAGACTCTTGGCCTGTGCTGCATCACCCTCACCCCTAGTGGTTTTCTATGTACAGGAAGAGTGACAGAATAGACATGCATGGTACTCTACCTGAGTACTACTCACTGTATCCTCTCAGAAAATAAGAGCCACTCAGGAGGAACCCCATTTATTTCTACCAGTTCCTCATGTTCGATGACAATGAAGGTAGCTCTCAATGAATTCAGCATAGATATCTGATCTTCATCTATCATATATTGGCCAGTATGGATCTAAAAGCAGACTGATGGGGTGGAAGAAATGTGAGGCCTCATGCTGTCACCAAATTTGCTTTAAGGTTCTCAACAGTTTTATTCAAGAATGGGAGTCGAGAGACAATGTGATGATTGGTGAAATTCTCAGTGCCAAGAGAGGATTTAAGGTGGCTTGAGAGATGATTTCTTGAGTAAACCTTTACCAATCACTTTAGAGAGAATCTGGCAACAGTTGGTGACCCAGTGCTTTCCTGTTGGACTTTACCTCAAAAAACAAACACAGATCCAACCTTTAGGTGGTACCCCAAAGCTCCCTGGTATTTCAAAGACCTCAGTGAATGACAATAGCTAAAACTCAAGCAAAACAAAGAGAAATCCCTCTGCCCTACTGTAATAATTGCAGCCTAGATGACATCCCAGACTGGGGGAGTGAGGTTCAGAGCAATCTGGCAGACCTTCAAGTCCCAAGCATCTGTCTGCAACTGACCAGCCATATTCTATCCTCAGAAGATCAACAAAAGTAATCTTTTCTCCACATTTACTATCCTACCTCTTTTTCAAAGCAGGGGAAAGTGACTATCATTCACAATTCAGAATTCAATAAGTATTCAATACTTTCTTTCTGACCACAAAGGGTTGCTTGACAAAATAAGAGACTAATGATATCTTTAGTCTGAAAAAGGGACTTTGATAAATTGTCATTGTTTGCTTTGCATAGCCACTCAACTGCAAAATGCTTTGTTTTATTTTGATTCTTTTTCTCTTCTTGTATACTAACTAGTAAATTAATTTTCTTCTGTGTTTGTCCTGGAATTATGCAGGCCAAGGCCTCTGTACTGAAAACACCAAACCATCTTTGACTGTTCAGTGCTGTACAGTGACAGGATCATGTAAACACGTTTGACACTCCAGGCCCATTTATTCCATTAAAATTAACACAATAGCCTCCACCAAATTGTCTTTGGCCCCATGGAGGCTGATAATCCAGTCTGAATCGGAACAGTTTTATCTGCAAATTAGACTGTAACTTCCTCACCATGTGAAATATCTGACTCCGCAACTGAGTAGAGATGGCAAGGTTTCACCAGAGCACACCTTCTGTGACTGGGGCTCTATCTGTCTACCTTCTGCTTCCTTGGGTGACCTGTGAGGATGAAGTAGAAGGAAAAGGAAGTTAGGAACCTGTGTAATTCAAAAAAAAAATCTGCCTTTGAATATCAGAAGTATTGTCCTAGTAAAATGCCTGTAAATTAAGGATGCATGAGTGTGCATGTATGTGAGATACACACAATGCTTTTTAATCCACAGCTTTCAGTGTTTTACAGAAGGGCCTTAGCAGAAGAAGCTCTCAGTGCCTGATGGTTTGTGACTAATGACCCAGTTAGGTCATTTGGGTAGAGGAGTTTATTGTTGGCCCATCTTTTGTGTCAAAACACAAAACAGCCTTTCAAAGTGTATTAAGATAAAATGGTTCTCTCTCTGATGGCAAGACAACACCAGCTGGACTGCCATTAAGATGGGAAACAAACCAATTTGCTCCATGATCAGGTGGCTGAAGTGGGGACCAGTTTTTGTACCATTACAGAATAGGAGGCAGTCCCAAGCTGCACTGCCCCAAAAGGAGGATGTGGGAGACATTGTTGGGTGTAGTCATGTCACTGCCCTTTTCCCACCCTTTTGGGAGATTCTAGTGCCCATTGGGGCACTAGCCCTAAGCAGCCCTTGCACACGGGGAAGCACGAGGGTTGTGACTGAAGCCATCTCCTGTCTGGAGGACTCAGGAAGGAAGACTTCTTGGTGCCCTTTTCCCCACTGACTCAGTTGTTCACATGACACAAGAGAGAGGGGCAGTCTAGTCTAGTCCAGAATGACAGCCCAAATAAACAAGGGTGTTGTAATGTGGGTGTGTCTAGGAAACACAGAGGGCAGCTGCTGGGTAAAGGCACGGAGGTGCCGCTGTTTTATCTGGAGTTCTGAAAGGAGAATTGGCTCCTGAATCTTTGCTGCTGCTTTTATTATCATTGTTTGAGCAAAGTAAGGCCTAACAATCAACTCAATGGCATTTGTCTGTCTCTTTCCTTTTACCAACGAGAACTTGGAGAACATTATCATCCTCAGCTGAGAGCTGGTACACACAAATTACAGTGGCAGAAATGAGGCTAGAACCAAAGTCCCTGATACTTACCCCTGGGGTAAATCAGTCTAGCTTCATTGATTTCAGTGGAGCTACTCCAGGTTAAATCAGCTGAAGATCTGGTGCATAGTACGTCTTTAATTTATCCTGGGTCCTTTGGATTCATCCTTTCTCCTCATCAGTACTGACTGGCTCTCCTGATTCTTGTCATGTGCAAATTTCAACATCCCATTGCATGTCCCTCTCTGGGACACTACAGATCCAGTAACTCCTGCTTTGGAGGGAACTGCTGTTCCCTGCTATGAAAGTGAACAGCATCAATTTCAGTAATTTGCTTCTTTTGTGTGATCTGCTTTCTCTTTCACAAATCTTTCAACTTCTAAGCAGCCTGCATTTCCAGTTACTCCAGATGCTTTTTATTTCCCCTCACACTCTTATTCTTGTGCAGTCCTGAATTTTAGTTTGTTTTCATTTCACTCTCACAAGAACATCTCTCTCACTCTGGTATTAGTTTCCCAGCAATATCCACAGTTTCTGTTGCTTTTCCTCTCACCTTCCCTCAAGGAATCAGCAACTCACAACCTCTTGTTCTTTATCTGTTTGTAAAATCATTTATTATTTATCATCATACTTTGTACTTTTTTTCATTCATTTTTAGCCCTAGCTTTCTCAATCCTTGTCTCTTGTTCTTTTACTTTACCTTTTTAGGCTAGTTTCTGAAGCACTGATCCTTGTTATTATTGCACTTCTTTTTCATTTAATTCACCCTCTGTTTACCTGATCATTCACAATGGTCATTCATTTTCCACAGCTGGTAGATTCACTTCTCAATAGTATGCATTATGGTGTATAAAACAAGGCTTGCTCGTGGAAAGTTCATGTGCATTTTTAATTTAAACTTAATTTGCGATTATTATTTCTTGCACACAGCATCCCACTTAACTACATGTAACAAAACGATCAGTGGTAAATCATGCCTTTACCAGTGGTAAATCAGTGGTAAAGCCAAGTGTAGGGATGGTGAAGACTACAACTTTTCCATGAACTCACCTAATGCAAATGAGGGCAGGTGGACGGATTGCATTAGTTGCACCATCTTTTAAGATAATGTGGCTTGTTTCTCTCACCATTTGTCCAGCCCACTATTCAGGCCAATGTTAGTGTCTGGACTCATCCCCTTATGGGCTGTGTGAGCTCCTGAGGATGCATGGAGGGTGCATGCAAGTACAGTTGTTCTTGTACTTCTGCAAGCACATGACCTGCAATTGTCAGGCATTTAAAAGGACCATGCAGTGTTGGAGGTTTCTTGTATCCTCTTCCCATACATCTTCTCTCAAGGACCTGTCACAGCCTAGTCCTTCTGTAGTGTAAATTAATTTCTATTTATGTTTTAAATGATGGAAAATAGTTAAATTAGACAGTATTTACCTCAAATTTTTGGTATTTATCAAGTCTTTGGAATTACTTTTGAAGGTGTCTCTTTCTCTTCTTGTATCCTTCCCAGGCCTTTGATTTCAGTCAGCTTTGGGTAAAGCTTTAGGGACAATCACCTTATATGAGCTGGGTTTGGGGGACAGAGCTAATCTATTCTAAGACTGTCCTTTGACCAAATTGAACATTCCTTAAGTTTTGGATAAATACTTCCATTCCCTTAAGACTGTCATTCCCATGCAAGCAAAGATGCATACAAAAAAACAAGAATGGTTCACTGGCAAAAGGAAATGGTCCTGCAAAGAGACACATGTGACATAAGAGAATAATCTGCCATGTATGTACAGCATTACTTGCAGGAAGTGAATAAATAGGCAAATCTGTACTTTCCACTACTTGCTGTTCTATAGATGAAGGAAAAAAGAACCATTCCAATGACAACGTTGACTTGGCCACATTGCATACATGTTCTCTTTTATAAAAAAAAAAAAAAAAAAAGAGAGTTAGGAAATGCCATGTATAGAATCATAGGACTGGAAGGGACCTTGAGAGGTCATCTACTCCAGTCCCCTGCACTCATGGCAGGACTAAGTATTATCTAGACCATTCCTGGAAGGTGTTTGTCTAATCTGCTCTTAAAAATCTCCAATAATGGAGATTCCACAACCTCCCTACGCAACTTATTCCAATACTTAGCCACCCTGACAGTTAGGAAGTTTTTCCTAATGTCCAACCTAAACCTCCCTTGCTGCAGTTTAAGCCCATTGCTTCTTGTCTGATCTTCAGAGGTAAAAAAAAACAATTTTTCTCCCTCCTCCATGCAACAACCTTTTATGTACTTGAAAACTGTTATCATGTCCCCTCTCAGTCTTCTCTTTTCCAGACTAAACAAACCCATTTTTTTCAATCTTCCCCCATAGGTCACGTTTTCTAGACCTTTAATCATTTTTGTTGCTCTTCTCTGGACTCTTTTTCCAATTTGTCCCCATCCTTCCTGAAATGTGGTGCCCAGAACTTGGGCACAATATGCCAATTGAGGCCTAATCAGCGCAGAGTAGAGCGGAAGAATTGTGACTCGTATCTTGCTTACGACACTCCTGCTAATACATCCCAGAATGATTTCGCTTTTTTTGTAACAGCATTACACTGTTGACTCATATTTAGCTTGTGGTCCACTAAGACCCCCAGATCCTTTTCTGAAGTACTCCTTCCTAGGCAGTCATTTCCCATTTTGTATGTGTGCAACTGATTGATTGTTCCTTCCTAAATGGGGTACTTTGCATTTGTCCTTATTGAATTTCATCCTATTTACTTCCGACCATTTCTCCAGTTTGTCCAGATCATTTTGAATGTTAATCCAATCCTCCAAAGCACTTGCAATCTCTCCCAGCTTGGTATTGTCCACAAATTTTATAAGTGTACTCTCTATGCCATCATCTAAATCATTGATGAAGATATTGGACAGAACCAGACCCAGAATTGATCCCTGCGGGATGCCACTTGTTACATCCATCCAGCATGACTGTGAACCAATAATAACTACTCTGGGAATGGTTTTCCAACCAGTTTTGCACCCACCTCATAGTAGCTCCATTTAGGTTGTATTTCCCTAGTTTTTTTTATGAGATGGTCATGTGACACCATATCAAAAGCTTTACTAAAGTCAAGATATACCATGTCTACCGATTCCCCACCCTTATCCACAAGGCTTTTTACCCTGTCAAAGAGAGCTACCAGATTGGTTTGACACAATTTGTTCTTGACAAATCCATGCTGATTTAATTATCATCTTACTATCTTCTAGATGTTTGCAAATTGATTGCTTAATTATTTGCTTCCTTATCTTTCTGGGTACAGAAGTTAAGATGACTGGTCTGTAATTCCCTGGGTTGTCCTTATTTCACTTTTCATAGATGGGCACTATATTTGCCCTTTTCCAGTCTTCTGGGATCTCA